GCCAGTCAAGCTACACCGGTCCCAGCAACAGATCCTAGTCCAGTACTAATTCCAGCACAACCAACTCCTACTGCCGAGCAGTGAATTCCAGCACAAGCCTCGACCAGCAAAAAGTGCTATAAGAGAACGACAGACCGTATACTCTAGCCATCTTCCTCAACACCAGCAGTAGTAGACTCGGGATCCGAAAGTCCCTATCATCCCAAATGACGTCGAACGAGGGTTTCTAGCCAAGACACCCCACCACAGTGAGTTTCTATTTTAGTTTTCTTTTATTTCGCATTTGCATTTAGCTTCATGTAGTTTTAGACTTCATGCATTGGGGATAATGCATCCCTCAAGTTTGGGGGAGGTATTGTACCATATTCTGCCATACTTTGTTAGAAAGCAGTTGATCATAATTGGTTGAAAATTTTTGGTTGTCATGACATAGTAGGTTAAGATTATTGTTAGGAATGAATTAAGGATGCCCAATGATGAATGCATAATTTGATTGCCTAGGCCAGAATTATTGTTAAGACTTTCTAAAGAAGAGAACCAACCTTACGCCTGATTCTTTAAAGTTTTATAAACAAGATTGTAGGTTGTCTTTACTTCAGGTAAGCTGTAAATTTTTGGAAAAGAACTTTCTGCTTGCCGAGACTTCAAAAATATTTTAAAGGTGAACTGAAAACTCTCTAGTGTTTAAAAATTGGAAAAATAAGAAGGAAAAAAGAAATGACACTCCTCTGTACAAAGGCATAAACAGAAAAACTCCATAAGAAATTAAGAGTAGCCACAACATATGAGTGAATGAAAGTAGTCATAGGATGACTCTGTCCGACTAGCTTGGGGGTGAAAGGTATGCTCCCTTTCACCTAGAGTGTGGAACGGTAGGTGTGATGAGCTGACTCCCCTGTATAAAAAAATTGATAAATAACTAGTAGTATAAACTAAGCCTGACAAATAATTTATTGCCTTGACAAACTAGAAGTTCTTACTTAAGTTTTCTAATTACCTTTATGCATAGACTGGTTACAATCACGCATACACTATAGCAAGGAATCCTGACTAGGGAAGGGACTTGACTGATATGACTGTCGAACATGAGGCCAAACAATTTTTGCTGAGGGCTGAAATCTCAAACCCTATGATTTTCTTAACACTGCTTGCCATGATAATTTTGATTTTCTTCTAGTTATTGAACATTGCTTGAGGACAAGCAATAGCTTAAGTTTGAGGGTGTGATAACTCCGTAAAAAGGCTCAATTTACAGTCTTTTCACTTAAGTTATTGCTCGGCTAAACAAAGTATGCATAGCATTTTAGTTGCATATAGGTTATATTAGCTTGTGGTGGATAAATTTTTGCTTAGGAAAGATTTATTTGGTTTGACTGATGCTGCTGAGGAGAAAGGGTTGCTTGTATTGTGTTTGTGCAGGAAACTTACAAAGAAATAACATTTCAGTCGTGACAACGTAAATTTGCAAAGGCCAACGGAACAGACGATAACGTAAGGAGCAGATTTATCTCGTCGAGGTAAGGTTTATCTGAAGAAGTCTGAAGCATGAGTGACAAAACCGCCTATGTCACAAGCCAGCTGGATGACCTACTTCACATGCAAGCAAAGCCTTAATTATTCTGACAACCGTCTTTCCTTTTTAGTCTAGACATTTAATAATGGTTATCTAAGGAAACTCCAAAAGCATGCAAAGCCCTAAGAGATATTTCCTTATAAATAATCAGTTGTAGCCGACAAAGAAGAGGAGGCAAGGAAGAAGAGATAAGAGCTTTACCCAAGGCATGAGCAAACAACTGTAGTGCTTCTTCACCGTCTACCCATCGACCTTCCTTGGTGTCCTCCATAGCCAAACTTTAGCAGAGCGGTGATCACCAAGGCAGGCATAGTGCTGATTAGAATCGTTGCGACAGAGCCTTCAGTTTTGGGAGTCGTTCTTCCTTTGTTCTTAACTTTTTATCTATTTTGGGTTGTATTAAACGTTGAATTCTGGATGATCTTTGATAGCACCATGAATGTCTTACTTGGTGTTAAACTTTGTTTTTCCTTAACAATATTTTTATGTTTTATGAATGATGAATTATGCTTTGCGTATGACTGTTTTGCTCAATGTTTAAATATTTCACCTTACGCTGTAAGAGCATCGAGAGATCGTCTGGGGTATTAGTAAAACATGTCTTGGAAATATAAGAGCATCGAGAGATAGCCTTTTGTCTAGATAGTGATTCTTAGATTCGAGAGAATTAAGATAGATCCACGTGAGCAATGGAATGAATCCGGGATGGTGAAGTTCTAACTTGTTACCTTATAGATAAGGAGTAAGTTTTAATCGACTAAAAGAGATAGACGCTAGAGTATGATAGACAATGCCTATAGTTTATGCTAAGAGGTATCGCTACAACAACAGTTTGACAAACCAAGGGTTGTAGTTAACGCTGAGGAGTATTGCCATAGGAACCGTCTAAGAATACCTAGTAATCCTGTCGGGCAGTTTAGCAAGTCATAATAATTCATTCTAGACTTAGAAATAATTGTTTTCAAACTAAGGGTTTAGCATAAGTGCTCTATGATATGTCTGAATATGTGAGGTTGTTTGCATCAACACTTGTCTGGTTTTATTTTACTTTAGCATTTTGCATACTTATTTTGCCTCGACCAAACTTTTCTGCAATTGTTAAATCAATTCTTTGTCTTATTAATATTAGTTCTTAAGTTGATATTTAGTAGGACTTAGTTTGTGACATTAGTTCTAGTTGTGGTGAAAATATATTTCTCAACCAATCCCTGTGGAGACGATACTCACTTACCCTATATTACTTGAATTGATTGTGTATACTTGCACAGATTTGCTTGCCTTAACATATACATTTACAAGCGATCACTTGCCGAGGATGTTCAAGTGAAGAATTGTCCTTCAGAGACTATTAGACAAAATTCGAAGGGGGTCAAGACATTGAGGGACAAGGTAACCATAGAGAAACTACCGATTTACAAGGTGGTACGTTGTAACACCCCCAACCCGTATCCAACCCGGATACGAGTCCGAAGTGTCACATTGACTTTTCAAACATTTATTCGTATAAAATAGTGAGTAATTTAAAAACTTTTATAACATTTAACTTATTCAAAACGTTTACAAATATATATTAGAGTTCATACAATTTATATCTTTAGACTACATGCCAACTACACTCTATATACAGTACATATATTTTCTGATCTGACATTTGGTAAGGAGAACTGACCTGTCTTGCCCCGCATTACTCTTTACTCTTCTCGAAACCTACGTGTGAAACAATTACACGCTAAGTCATTGACTTAGTGAGGCATATAAAACATATAATATTTCATATAACATAAGCATACATAAACATATACCATCATTATCATTAAGAAACACACATAACATCATATGGTTCATGTAACACATTTCAAACCACTTACCTTTGATAACCATTTATAAACCCATCGTATACATATCACCTTCAGTATGCTTGTTTAATCACTTTATTAGCCCATGTACACTAGTAAGAACTTAAGGTATGTGAGTACATTGAGGTTGTGCACACATATGCTGTCACCACAGCTCGATCAATGTCCCGAAGGACCAGTCCATAGATTCCGAAGAACCTAGGTAATCAGTCCATATGTTCCGAAGAACATAGGTAAACAGTCCATATGTCCCGAAGAACATAGGTAAACCCTCGACCCTTGGCATGCCAACTATACCCCTAGCTCTCATATCACATAACATGGGCATTATCATTTATAACAATTCACATTACTTATTCATATTCTTTCTCTTATAAACACATATCTTTTCTTTTCAGTCACGTATCACATGTACGTGTAATCATTGATCTCATAATCACATGTTCCTTCTCTTCTGTCACATACCACATGTATGTGTAAATATATATCTAATATCATATGTTGCATGTAATCACATAGATCGTATCATATAGCTTCTTTCACATAGCTCACTATCATATTTTCATATCATATATCTTATAATAGATTCTTATATCATCATTTGTTTCCTTTCTACCTATTCATAATCACATAACATATACAAAGCATATCATTATCTTTAGTCATGCATACATACAATCAATGTAATACAGATAATCACATATAATTATAACAACACATAATCATGTCCATGACTTCATGCATATTACTCTAGGAAATAGACTCATCGCAAGTATTATTTCCATTAAACACTACATATTACTAGTATGCACTCACCTTGGTCTCACTAGTCAATTCCAATCTCTTATCTTTCCCTTGATCGATCTTACTTGTCAAATGTTCTGGAATTGCTTTACGCGCAGAATCTACATAAATGTACATTTGGAGGCAATCATTAGATATTTACACCTTGTAATTGGATACTAGCAACTTAAACAAACTTATTAAACCAATATTCACATTTTTCCTTTAGGGGGGTATCGATTCCCTACTGGGGGTATCGATACCCTCATGACATTCTAGAATTATGTCGTTTGAGAGGGTATCAGTACCCCTTTGAATGGGTACCGATTCCCCCTAACCCAGAAATCATTTTTCAGCACGAAAATTACTTTATTTCCTCTCAAACACTTCATATATCATCCCCTTTTTCATTCTTAACTCTAGTACACATACTTAAACCAATCTATATTCATTTATTTCATCTTAAACCTCAAAATCCTATCTTCCATATGTAATTCAATAATTACATCAATTTTGCAACATGTTTCAAATCCAATTCTATTACTTCATATCTCTTACTTAGATTGATGACAAGTCAAATTCCTTCTCAAAATTCACTTACTAACTCTTTTCCAGAATTTTCTTAAGAAACTCATTTTCTTTAATCTTTCATAACTTCTTTATCTTTTGATTTTAGGACAACTTAAGCTTTCCATAAGCTTAAGTATTACCTAATGATCAAAACACACTCTTAAAATTAACAAATAATCAGCTAACAAAGAATCTTACCTTTGCAAGCTTGGCTCTTTCTTTCTCTCGTACATGAAGAAGAAGAAGAAGATGAAGAGAATATCTCTTCATCCTTATCCCCTCTAACATATATATCCTTATCATTTATTTTAATTCATTTATTAGTTAAATGACCATTTTGTCATCTACTTCATTTGATAATTACTAACAATTTTTAGGATTTATTTTCAGATAAATCATTAAACTAATCTATTTTTCTACTTTAATCACCAAATTCTGAAACTTTACCATTTAGTCACTAACCCATAGTTTGGAATGTTACAACTCTCCCCTCCTTATAAGAAAATTCGTCCTCGAATTTTCACTGCACATCTTAATAAGAACATATCTTCTAATGTTCTTATGTTGCTTCCCTGACTTATTCTTTCTTGTCATCATCAGAAACTTACTTTTCAATCCTTTAATTTTTCAACTATCTTTTTCGTTTATACATTCATCTTCTGTTGCTTATCATATAAACAATAACCAGTAATACCAATCCATTGTTGTCTTTTCTCTCATTCGATTATGCATTTTTCCTTTGACCTTTCTAAAATTCCATATAATGTCACTCATCACATTGACAGTAACATCCATCTCATCACTCTATATCATAAATCCATCTATTTCTTCATAACTCTCTAATTACCTTATAACCATACCAAACTTGTATTTCGTCATCATTTGACCAAAACACAACTTTAAATCTTCTTCAATTGTGATTAAACATATACTTTAAGGAGTCAAACAATATTTTCACATCACCTTGCACACGTTTCGTGTTTCTATATCGAACTTATCATTTACACTTCCATACGAATCCTCACTTCATTCACTATATCACATTTACGTAATCAAAATATACAATTATATCCAATACAATTTCATCACAAAATCTTGTTAGTCAACGCTAACTCTTTCATTCTAAAGTACAAATCCTTATCATATCCACACTCTTTCTTATACACAATACTATCCCTTTGTTTCAAATTCGTAACTCTGATTTCATTCATATAATGTTACTTATCTTGTAGACAGTAACATCAATTCTTATCACTCAAAATCAAAAATCAATCAATTGATTTCTTTCCTCATTTTCTAATTAATTCACCACAATCCAAACTTTTACTCATTCTTATCATCTATTGTACTTGTATTTCCTTCAAACATACAAATCTTTATCTTCTTCACCACAATACCTTACTATGATCAAACTATACAACTGTATCCAAATCATCTTCATATTTGGTTATCATAACCTGTCAATATATTATAATTCCATTACATTTTCATCACATACTCTTGTCAGCCAATGCTAACTCTTTCCATCTAGAATACAAACTCTTTTACAAACAATAACCGCGTCACTTGATCTTTTAACATCCTTATGGTGACACTCGTTCACCATATTTCATCTTATCCACATAATAACAAACTTCTCAATTTAATTTCTCCACTATGGAGAAATGAACATCTTCTAGCATTATCTTCATATCATATATCCAAAGGTCTGTAACAACAGAGCCTTCCTCAAATTCACCCTTGAGATCGGGTGCTCATAACTCTTTTAACTATTTCGATACATTCAATCTATGAGTTAACGAAGTATACAATTAAAAACACATCGGAATATCATTCAACATTATGAATCATTCTCTAATCTTATACAGACATTCCCTGAGGTTTTCGCTCTTCTCCCTGCCTGGCCAGGGCAGGTGAATGCTATTACCTTCAGGTCTATCGTCTTGTATTTCACTTTGGAAACTCTCATATTTTCATGTGCTCATATCATTTCTTCTATCAGATATCATGTGTGCATATGCTCATCCAATTCATATTATATAACATATGTCAATTGCATATGTTCACATATCATCCATCATATCATATAAACATATATATAAATTTCATAAATCATTCTCAGTATTCACTTATCTTATATAACATAACAATTTAACTCTATGAACAAGACAACACACTCCTTACCCTATCAGATCAGAAAATTTTTCACTTTGTGTTGGCATGTACACTTTTTAAAACACTTTCGACTTCGTTTTTAGCCTAGAATCGGCTAAACCGTCGCTCTGATACCATTAAATGTAACACCCCCAACCCGTATCCAACCCGGATACGAGTCCGAAGTGTCACATTGACTTTTCAAACATTTATTCGTATAAAATAGTGAGTAATTTAAAAACTTTTATAACATTTAACTTATTCAAAACGTTTACAAATATATATTAGAGTTCATACAATTTATATCTTTAGACTACATGCCAACTACACTCTATATACAGTACATATATTTTCTGATATGACATTTGGTAAGGAGAACTGACCTGTCTTGCCCCGCATTACTCTTTACTCTTCTCGAAACCTACGTGTGAAACAATTACACGCTAAGTCATTGACTTAGTGAGGCATATAAAACATATAATATTTCATATAACATAAGCATACATAAACATATACCATCATTATCATTAAGAAACACACATAACATCATATGGTTCATGTAACACATTTCAAACCACTTACCTTTGATAACCATTTATAAACCCATCGTATACATATCACCTTCAGTATGCTTGTTTAATCACTTTATTAGCCCATGTACACTAGTGAGAACTTAAGGTATGTGAGTACATTGAGGTTGTGCACACATATGCTGTCACCACAGCTCGATCAATGTCCCGAAGGACCAGTCCATAGATTCCGAAGAACCTAGGTAATCAGTCCATATGTCCCGAAGAACATAGGTAAACAGTCCATATGTCCCGAAGAACATAGGTAAACCCTCGACCCTTGGCATGCCAACTATACCCCTAGCTCTCATATCACATAACATGGGCATTATCATTTATAACAATTCACATTACTTATTCATATTCTTTCTCTTATAAACACATATCTTTTCTTTTCAGTCACGTATCACATGTACGTGTAATCATTGATCTCATAATCACATGTTCCTTCTCTTCTGTCACATACCACATGTATGTGTAAATATATATCTAATATCATATGTTGCATGTAATCACATAGATCGTATCATATAGCTTCTTTCACATAGCTCACTATCATATTTTCATATCATATATCTTATAATAGATTCTTATATCATCATTTGTTTCCTTTCTACCTATTCATAATCACATAACATATACAAAGCATATCATTATCTTTAGTCATGCATACATACAATCAATGTAATACAGATAATCACATATAATTATAACAACACATAATCATGTCCATGACTTCATGCATATTACTCTAGGAAATAGACTCATCGCAAGTATTATTTCCATTAAACACTACATATTACTAGTATGCACTCACCTTGGTCTCACTAGTCAATTCCAATCTCTTATCTTTCCCTTGATCGATCTTACTTGTCAAATGTTCTGGAATTGCTTTACGCGCAGAATCTACATAAATGTACATTTGGAGGCAATCATTAGATATCTACACCTTGTAATTGGATACTAGCAACTTAAACAAACTTATTAAACCAATATTCACATTTTTCCTTTAGGGGGGTATCGATTCCCTACTGGGGGTATCGATACCCTCATGACATTCTGGAATTATGTCATTTGAGAGGGTATCAGTACCCCTTTGAATGGGTACCGATTCCCCCTAACCCAGAAATCATTTTTCAGCACGAAAATTACTTCATTTCTCTCAAACACTTCATATATATCCCCTTTTTCATTCTTAACTCTAGTACACATACTTAAACCAATCTATATTTATTTATTTCATCTTAAACCTCAAAATCCTATCTTCCATATGTAATTCAATAATTACATCAATTTTGCAACATGTTTCAAATCCAATTCTATTACTTCATATCTCTTACTTAGATTGATGACAAGTCAAATTCCTTCTCAAAATTCACTTACTAACTCTTTTCCAGAATTTTCTTAAGAAACTCATTTTCTTTAATCTTTCATAACTTCTTTATCTTTTGATTTTAGGACAACTTAAGCTTTCCATAAGCTTAAGTATTACCTAATGATCAAAACCCACTCTTAAAATTAACAAATAATCAGCTAACAAAGAATCTTACCTTTGCAAGCTTGGCTCTTTCTTTCTCTCGTACATGAAGAAGAAGAAGAAGATGAAGAGAATATCTCTTCATCCTTATCCCCTCTAACATATATATCCTTATCATATTTATTTTTAATTCATTTATTAGTTAAATGACCATTTTGTCATCTACTTCATTTGATAATTACTAACAATTTTTAGGATTTATTTTCAGATAAATCATTAAACTAATCTATTTTTCTACTTTAATCACCAAATTCTGAAACTTTACCATTTAGTCACTAACCCATAGTTTGGAATGTTACATACGTGAACTCCAACCTTCGAGTTAGAAGGGAGGAGGCAAGAAGGGGCATCAAACTTTACCGTGAGAAAGTGTTGATGCATGGTGACGCAAAGAACTCCAATGAGAAGGGTTCGATGTGAAGAGTGTAAGACTTCATGGAGTAAGAAGTGCTGGCACATTTTTGAGTAAATGCCATGAAATCATAAAAAAATGTACATGTCAACACAATTCTAGTGTTCTTTTGAGTTTGATTTATTGTCTTTAGTTAGCATAGGTCGAGTAAGACCTAACCTTTAGCTCATAGGAAACAAAGTTTGGAAGGGATCCAAGACTTTGCAGGACAAGGAGGGTCCAATATAAGATAAATCAAGACTTGTAGGAAAGGGTTCTTATGACAAAGATGTATTTGTGGGCGTGTTAGCCCATTTCATCACTTGGTAGCAAGAGCCAAAGCAATCATAGCCTTTATGGGAAGGTCGAGTCTTATAGATGAGGACGTGAGCAAGTGGAGGCGTAGAAATACAACCAAGTTGATGTATGGCGCGAGGGATCATAGAGTTACATGCGGCAGAAGCCAAGGCAAACAGTTCGTATGGGAGGACCGCAACAAGCCAAGGCATTGAGAAGAGTCCAAGGTGATGTTGCCCACGATCTTCGAGTGGAGCGATGAGGGCGTCGCTAAGCTCGGTGGGGGAGAATGTCACGGGCCGTGATACTTGGATCCGTGATATTGGTGCAAGTGTCTCCTAAAGAGGTTTTATGCATAACGTGGGCTTGTCAAGGCCACCAAACTTGGCCCATCATTATCATTAAGAAACACGCATAACATCATATGGTTCATGTAACACATTTCAAACCACTTACCTTTGATAACCATTTATAAACCCATCGTATACATATCACCTTCAGTATGCTTGTTTAATCACTTTATTAGCCCATGTACACTAGTGAGAACTTAAGGTATGTGAGTACATTGAGGTTGTGCACACATATGCTGTCACCACAGCTCGATCAATGTCCCGAAGGACCAGTCCATAGATTCCGAAGAACCTAGGTAATCAGTCCATATGTTCCGAAGAACATAGGTAAACAGTCCATATGTCCCGAAGAACATAGGTAAACCCTCGACCCTTGGCATGCCAACTATACCCCTAGCTCTCATATCACATAACATGGGCATTATCATTTATAACAATTCACATTACTTATTCATATTCTTTCTCTTATAAACACATATCTTTTCTTTTCAGTCACGTATCACATGTACGTGTAATCATTGATCTCATAATCACATGTTCCTTCTCTTCTGTCACATACCACATGTATGTGTAAATATATATCTAATATCATATGTTGCATGTAATCACATAGATCGTATCATATAGCTTCTTTCACATAGCTCACTATCATATTTTCATATCATATATCTTATAATAGATTCTTATATCATCATTTGTTTCCTTTCTACCTATTCATAATCACATAACATATACAAAGCATATCATTATCTTTAGTCATGCATACATACAATCAATGTAATACAGATAATCACATATAATTATAACAACACATAATCATGTCCATGACTTCATGCATATTACTCTAGGAAATAGACTCATCGCAAGTATTATTTCCATTAAACACTACATATTACTAGTATGCACTCACCTTGGTCTCACTAGTCAATTCCAATCTCTTATCTTTCCCTTGATCGATCTTACTTGTCAAATGTTCTGGAATTGCTTTACGCGCAGAATCTACATAAATGTACATTTGGAGGCAATCATTAGATATCTACACCTTGTAATTGGATACTAGCAACTTAAACAAACTTATTAAACCAATATTCACATTTTTCCTTTAGGGGGGTATCGATTCCCTACTGGGGGTATCGATACCCTCATGACATTATGGAATTATGTCATTTGAGAGGGTATCAGTACCCCTTTGAATGGGTACCGATTCCCCCTAACCCAGAAATCATTTTTCAGCACGAAAATTACTTCATTTCCTCTCAAACACTTCATATATCATCCCCTTTTTCATTCTTAACTCTAATACACATACTTAAACCAATCTATATTCATTTATTTCATCTTAAACCTCAAAATCCTATCTTCCATATGTAATTCAATAATTACATCAATTTTGCAACATGTTTCAAATCCAATTCTATTACTTCATATCTCTTACTTAGATTGATGACAAGTCAAATTCCTTCTCAAAATTCACTTACTAACTCTTTTCCAGAATTTTCTTAAGAAACTCATTTTCTTTAATCTTTCATAACTTCTTTATCTTTTGATTTTAGGACAACTTAATCTTTCCATAAGCTTAAGTATTACCTAATGATCAAAACCCACTCTTAAAATTAACAAATAATCAGCTAACAAAGAATCTTACCTTTGCAAGCTTGGCTCTTTCTTTCTCTCTTACATGAAGAAGAAGAAGAAGATGAAGAGAATATCTCTTCATCCTTATCCCCTCTAACATATATATCCTTATCATATTTATTTTTAATTCATTTATTAGTTAAATGACCATTTTGTCATCTACTTCATTTGATAATTACTAACAATTTTTAGGATTTATTTTCAGATAAATCATTAAACTAATCTATTTTTCTACTTTAATCACCAAATTATGAAACTTTACCATTTAGTCACTAACCCATAGTTTGGAATGTTACATACGTGAACTCCAACCTTCGAGTTAGAAGGGAGGAGGCAAGAAGGGGCATCAAACTTTACCGTGAGAAAGTGTTGATGCATGGTGACGCAAAGAACTCCAATGAGAAGGGTTCGATGTGAAGAGTGTAAGACTTCATGGAGTAAGAAGTGCTGGCACATTTTTGAGTAAATGCCATGAAATCATAAAAAAATGTACATGTCAACACAATTCTAGTGTTCTTTTGAGTTTGATTTACTGTCTTTAGTTAGCATAGGTCGAGTAAGACCTAACCTTTAGCTCATAGGAAACAAAGTTTGGAAGGGATCCAAGACTTTGCAGGACAAGGAGGGTCCAATATAAGATAAATCAAGACTTGTAGGAAAGGGTTCTTATGACAAAGATGTATTTGTGGGCGTGTTAGCCCATTTCATCACTTGGTAGCAAGAGCCAAAGCAATCATAGCCTTTATGGGAAGGTCGAGTCTTATAGATGAGGACGTGAGCAAGTGGAGGCGTAGAAATACAACCAAGTTGATGTATGGCGCGAGGGATCATAGAGTTACATACGGCAGAAGCCAAGGCAAACAGTTCGTATGGGAGGACCGCAACAAGCCAAGGCATTGAGAAGAGTCCAAGGTGATGTTGCCCACGATCTTCGAGTGGAGCGATGAGGGCGTCGCTAAGCTCGGTGGGGGAGAATGTCACGGGCCGTGATACTTGGATCCGTGATATTGGTGCAAGTGTCTCCTAAAGAGGTTTTATGCATAACGTGGGCTTGTCAAGGCCACCAAACTTGGCCCATCACTTGGAGAATGTGGTGGAGCCCATTCACATTGGTCGTGCAAAATAAAAGTGGCATCATATCTAGATATGATCACAGGAGCTTGTAAATATACAAAGAGACAACAAATTAAGAAGATATTGTGGGGGAGTTTTACCATATCTAGTGTGAAGACCTATCCATGAAAAGAATCCTACTAATGGATGTAATTAGATAGGATTGAGTTTGGTTTCCTTTATTTAGGGGATCTTGTATTAATTGGGCAGATCTTAACTGTTGATGTAAATCGATCTTGGTCATTGATTGAAAGGGAACTCAACTATAAATAGAGAGTCTCTCCTCCTCATTTGTAAATCATCTCATTCCATTCGTTCTCTTGATAGAGTAATAAAGCTCTGAGGCATTTACTCTATTATTTTGTTCTTTGTTCTTTATTCTCTTGGTGCTTGTTGCTTCTCTTGGTGGCTTGGAGTAGGCACGCTTGTGTTTGCAATTCCACATCATAATCCAACCTTGGTGGCTTAGAGTAGCCACGTTAGTGTTAAAGCTTATGCATCCTAAAAGACATGAGGGCTTGGTTCCAACCTTGGTGAGTTTGCATGCTCACTAGATTTGGGTAAGGCTTACTTAGTCGTAGAAAAGACCCATAAGTGTCAACAAACGTCTAAGGTCGCACGTCTCGTCAGACCTTAACTCTGATACTCCGACAGTTTGAGCTTGAAGGTTCTGAGGGCGTGACAATATCATGATGATCTCGAGCCATTATCTCTTTCGAGTTTTCAATAAAAGCACCATCCACGTTAATCTTTATGAAACTTGTCTTTGGTCTCGTCCACGTCCCATCTCGGTCAATCTTGATATTCTCCCTTCTAGACCTCCCAATTGAAAATGCATCCACAAAGTCAGATTGAAGTCCCATGCCGTGTTGACAATCTCGCGCTCTGCTTGCATTTCTCCATCATGAACCCATTTATTTCGTCCGTCCCGAATGTTCCAAAGTAGGACAATCAGATTTGTGAAGCCCTCCGGTTCAAGCGCTGAGACTGTCATTTCGAGCCATTCTTTGCACGATAACCCTTGTCAGTCCACAATTGAATCTTTCAAATCTGAAATCAAGAGAACTGAACGGGTTTTTGGACAGTTTTTCAAAGTATGAATAGCAGATTCTTGGTCCGAGTTACAAAGGGGGCAAACCGCATCTGACAGTCGAGCATTCCGAAGCTTTTCCCCCATAGGCAACACGTCACTGCATAGTCTCTGTCCAAAGATTTTGATTTTTTGGAAGTGTGGGCAGCTTAGTCAAGATCTTCCAAATTTTAGACCTATTCCGGACGGTACCCTCCTTCGTAAGAAGCAAATTATATCCTGACTTTGTTGAATAACATTCAGAATTGTGGTGTTCCCATAAAAGCCTATCCTCTGGCATAGGGGAGATGAGCACTCTGAGAATACGATCAGCATCCTCTCTAATGAAAATCGAACGGATTTTCTCATCATCCCATCTTGGTTGACCTTGGACCATAAACTCATGACATCTAATAGGAGTGTTTGAGCTATCCAAGTACCTCGAAGAGAAGGATAGTGGAGACGAGCCTTCCCATCTATCCACATGAATTTGAGTAGCTCCATGAAATCTCACCCTCCAAAAGAAACCCTCGGCCAAAGCCACCTTCGCCTTCCACAAGCTTGTCCAAGCATACAAGGCCTTCTCTCCCAATTTAGCCTCCAAAAGTAACCTGGGCTAGTTTATCCCAACTCGACCTTAAATGGACATATCCTTGGCCCAAAATAAGCTGGCTAGAGTTTATATATATATATATATTATTAGCTTAACTGTAGCCAACAGCTTTGCTCCTCAGCAGTCAGCTGCAAATTTTTTGAGATTTAACTTTAGTTCTTCACTTGCTCGTTTTCTATTGACTTAAAAACTGTGTTTTACAGGTCAATTTTGTATTTTTTTTTCGTGCAAAGAACAGAGTTTCTGAGATGAGGTAATTTTAAATATTTGTTTTTTTATCATTTGGACTCATTTTGTTTTATTTTAATGTAATTTATACAACAAAATATAATGGACTCTATTTTTTCAAAAAAATCCGAGGTTTGTAATGCTGTTATTGATTACTTGAATGAAAATAGTTTGGTTCATTCGGCTCTGTAGGATAATTTGCTGGGTACATTCACCTAGAGAAGATGAAATGGTTGTCATTATCAGCTTTGCTCATTCTTTGTTTCATTGACTGTACTGTGGAAATTTGTTTCTTTTAAAATTTAAACTTAAATTGTAAATCTTTTAGCTTGTGAATTTGGACTTTAATTGGTGGTATGATATTGTTTGCTGCATCTGGATTCATATATTCTTGTCCGATTTAATGAGTTGAACTATTAATTGTTTTCCAGTGCTAATGTTGTGATGGTTATGAGTTGTTTTTGTTTCTTGATTAATCCTTGGTTATTTTCGTTTATGAATCACATAGTTGTTTCATATATTCTCATTTATAGCTTTTTTGTTCATGAATGATTTTGGGTTTCTTATTTGCAGTATGCTTCAAAGCGATGCGCTTAGAGAAGCTATTTCGACCATTGTGGCTCATTCCAAGGAGAAAAATGGTAAGTTCTCAGAGACCATCGAACTCCAGATTGGGCTGAAAAACTATGACCCCCAGAAAGACAAGCGGTTCAGTGGTTCCATGAAGCTGCCACACATTCCTCACCCCAAGATGAAGATCTGCATGCTTGGAGATGCTCAACATGTGGAAGAGGTAATTCTGCTGCTTTCTTAGGTGAAACTTTGTTTTCTTACATTGCTTAGAACCAAAAAAAAAAACCTTCTCGACTCGAATAAAACTACATGCTTGTACAGCTTGATTAGCCCTTTGTGTGATGATTTTTTTCTTGAAGCAGTTTGATTTGTGTTTACAGGCTGAGAAGATTGGTATGGATTACATGGATGTAGAAGCACTGAAGAAGCTAAACAAGAACAAAAAGTTGGTAAAGAAGCTTGCCAAGAAGTATCATGCCTTTTTTGCCTCTGAATCTGTCATAAAGCAGATCCCTCGTCTTTCGGGTCCTGGTCTCAACAAAGCAGGAAGTTTTATACATTGATGCTGGTATTGCATTTTTGACAATTTAATACAGTACTCCCATAGTCATATGCAAAGATACAATGCTTTTTGCACAATTGCAGGGAAATTCCCGGCCCTTGTTACTCACCAGGAATCTCTGGAGTCGAAAGTGAACAAGTCCAAGGCAATGGTGAAGTTCCAATTGAAGAAGGTTCTTTGCATGGGAGTAGCCGTTGCGAATGTAGTTATGGAGGAGAAGCAGATCTTCCAGAACGTGCAAATGAGCGTCAATTTCCTGGTTTCATTGTTGAAGAAAAACTGGCAAAATCTGAGGTTTCAATGGTGCTTGTTCTTTTAGGCCCCTCATCTTCATGGATTATATTGGATTTTGGAATCATTTTCGCTCTTTTGATTACATGATATCGATGGAATGTGTAGGTTGCAGGTGAGATTATTCTACTTGAAAAGCACAATGGGCCCTTCAAACAGAATCTTTTGAGTTAATATTTACCTTTCATTTGGAGTTGTGCATGGATGGAAAGCAGTTGTAACTTAGAATCAATTTTTTTACTCTGAATTTTCAAAATTTTATGCTCTTTGATGATGTGCTTCATAGAGACACTAAAAGTTTTGTTTTGCATTTCAACTCAGCTTTCCATGTTTATTAAATTTCAATTTTTTCATCCTGAATGAAGAAGAAACTCACCTGACAAAATGCTTAACATCTATGACAACTGATCCTTATTGAAAAGAACATATTCTTCATCGAAATCGAAGAAGAAAAGTGCATTATTAATGCAAGGAGCAATCCAGAATTTATAATTTTTCTGCTCTCACCAGCCCCTTACGTTATTATATTAAGTGAAAATCAGGGGAGGCATTTAACATATTTTTGTCGCATTTGATTGGTTAGTACATTTGGCGTAGGAGAATCTTTGAAAAGATTTTAACTCTATAATTTAATAATTCAGATTCCGTTTAAGCATTCTGTTTAAATTTTTGATTATCATCTGTTTTCAGCTTTAAATTTTGTGATTATCATCTGTTTTCAGCTTCCATTACTTGCTTCTGCCGGGCGTATTGGTCGAATTCTGGGGTTTTCTTTGATTTCTTTTTCGGGAAGAACATATATATGGTTGAGCTATGATATTACTTCTTCTTTTACCGGCTGAGTTCATCTGGAAAACTTTGGGAACTTAAAACCTAGAGAAAGTAAAAGGAATAGCTTAGCGTTCGTATTTTTGCACTAGAAGAGTGTTGAAATGTGCTAAAAAGACATCATTGATTTCTGTTGGTTTTATGCACTAATCATTTACGTAAAATTTTGGAAGTGGTCCTAACTTTGGCAATTTCATGACTGATGCATTCAAAGACTTGAAATTTTTTCAAGTACAGTATGGTAGTAAAAGTTTTTTGCACAGTAAGTTCAAGTCCTGCAACTTTTTCACATGATTCATTGTGAGGGTGATTGCTTTTTGGCATTTGTTGATAGGAACGGTAGAAAAGTTCAAATGCGGTATTTTTTTTTTTTTTTGTAGTTTACTCATTTATGCATCTTGCTGTCATAAATGTTGATTCTTGTTTGTGCCTTTTGCCAAATGGTAGAATGTGGCCTTTGATGTTAACTTTTGTCCTGCATCAAGTGGGACAAGGAATTGGGCAATAAGTAGATCACAACTTTTAACATCCATTGCATGCCTGTTTCTTAAATCTTTCCAAGAAATGCCCAGTATGTTCTTACTCTTTTTGCAATAAGTTTTTACAAGTGTTTGAAGTATGGAGCCAGAGATCCCGTACCTAGCCATGTCTCGTAGTGCTCGATAGAAATGGTTGATATGGTTCATTTAGAGTTTTCACATCTTTTTATGGATCTCTCTTTAAGTGATTTTAGATTATAAAAATTCCCTTCCCTTTGCCTGAAACTATGGATAAAAGTTGAATGATCTATGATACCTTCAATTTGTATTTGAAGCCTGATCATGCACTAGAGAATCTCAATGAACCAATAGATGCATATATTATTTGTATTTGAAGCCTGATCATGCCGAAGATGAGTACATTTTAGAGGCAGCTGAGGCAGCAGGAGTGGATCTGCCCTATTGTTGCAGAGCTGGAGCTTGCTCCATATGTACTGCAAAGGTTGTTTCGGGCTCGGTGCATCAACTACCTTGAGGATGATCAAGTGAAGGAGGGTTATATGCTGACTTGTGTTTCGAAGCCGTCCTCAGACTGAGATTCACACTCACAAGGAACTTGATCTTTATTCCCCGTCAAAATGATCCTTTTTACCAGATATTCTGGGGGTAATAAAATGTGTTTAGGGTCTGGGAAGTAGTTGTGTGGAGCTCTTGGTAGCAATGTAGAGGGCTCTCAAGGACAATGAGTTTATCTACTGTTGCTTGTAACGTTTATTTAAGAATGTCATCTTATAGATAAAACATTGGCGGTTGAAACACCAGTAATGTCTGCGTTTACAAGCGAGACCAAATAAGGGATTAAGTACATATAGGTCTCTAAATTTTGTTCAAATAAATGTTCAGAATTTACAATTACTATTTTATATGGTTTAATGTAAAATAAGTGTCGAAATTATATTTAAAATTTATTTATGACATGTGTCATGTCCATAATTTTTTAGAAAAATTATTTTTTTTAAAAAATGATAAATGTGACGCATATCACTTTACTGTTTTTAACGGTAGACACCTAAAAACTTAACGAAGAAAACAAAATGCAGTTATTTTTAATAAAAAATTCTTTAAGCATCAAAAGTTAATTTTAAATACAATTTAGATATTTATTTTTGTATAAAGTCATTTTATAATTACAAATAAGATTTTTTTTCTATTAAGAATTTCCTTGGTTCGTTTAAATGAAAGCTAATGGAAAAAAAACTCGGTTTTCACTGAAACCTGTGGACTTTTGGGTAAGCAAACCAAAGGGAAATCATTGGAAGATTTGTTGAAATCCCTAGAAATTCCTTCCAAATGTCTTCATTCAGAAGGAAACGACACAAATCTGCGAAGAAGACAATATAATAAAAAATTAAATTAAAATTGTTATTATAATATGCATTTTAAATTTCAAATTGGATTTTATGTTTGTATTTTTACTAAGTCGAGATATTATTTTAGTATTAATAATATCCGAATGCTTAACCATTTTCTTATCTTATATGGTAATGTCATTATTCAACAATAACATATTTAAATTTTATAAAGTTAATCATGTGATATACAAATTCTCCAATAAAAAAGTTTATAAACTTTTCAATGAAGTCCGGAAATGCCATATGAGTGTACTAAATTAATGCACGTAACAGTGTCTACACAATAATAATTGTAAAAAGAGTTTCTGTAATTTATAATGATAGTATTGTAGTATTGTCCACTATGTACAACAAGAAAATGCATCAAAGAATTATATAGGATGAGGTGGAAAAAATGAAAAAACCTACTTGTTTTGTGTTTTAAAATGGAGAAGCAAATAACAATGTCAACAACAGGGAAATGAAAGCTTACCTCATGAACTCCGTCCACTATCCTCGATCATCAGTCCTTTCAGACTTTTGGCCAACCAGATGGCTGTCTCCCTCGGGGACACCTTGGCTTTACCGAAAGGCTTCAGAATAATCGAGAGCTCTTCCAATCTGTTATGTTGCAGTAACTCTGCAGATAATTCAAGCAGCCCTTCAAGTGCCTCTGCCCTTTGCCTGAATGACTTGATATCCAAAGTTTCTATTGCTGGTGTCTCCTCTTCTGTCCGAAAAGAGCTCGGGTTTGCGGGTTCTGGTGAATCCGGCTTCGGAGATGAGGAAACAGAGTTCCTGACATCCATTTCTTTAACGCCGGAATGATCCAAAACATTTGGATTAGAACTTAGAGGCTCAGGACATTTCACAACATTTATGAGTTTCCCAACATCCACACTTTGGACACCCATTTCTACTTTTTCCATCATTGGCTGCTCGCTGCCAACTCGGAAGCTACTGTGCCTTATAATATGTATAACATCGTCAAAGGCTGGAGGACGTGAAGTTGCAGGCCGGGTTTTCTATTGAGGGATTATTCACATTTGTTCCTTTACCTGGCTGTGAATTCTTTTGGCTAGATGAAATGGGTGAGGCAATGCAAGGAATAGGTTCTGCCATTGATGAGAGAAGTTCCATTACAGTGAAGTTTTCATCACCACTGAATGCAGAAGAAAATTTTGAATGGAGTATCGTATCGGGCCTACTACAAGGTTTGCTTGCCACGGTTTCATCCTTACTACTCAAGCTTATCTGACAATCTTCCCCGGTAGTTGGGCTACTTACAGGGGCATCATCCCTACTACTACTTGGCCTACTAATAGGGCGATCATCCCTATTGACTGGCCGGCTTATAGATACATCCCTACTACTTCTCCTGCTTAAAGGAGTTTCATCCGTACTACTTGTGCTGCTTGAAGGAGCACCATCTGTACTAATTGTCCTACTTACAGCAATATCATCTTTAAGGATGGGTATTTCTTCTGAATTCGGACCCGGAAGCTCTAAAGGGGAACTCAAACTAACTTTTGCATTAGCTGATGTAAAATGCAGAAGATCCTGGGTTGGAACAGATTCTTCTGTTGAACACATGACAGATTTATGATCATGCTCAGGTATCTCTGATGGAAGTGAAGCGAGTGAGCTAGAAGCTGGATGCAATTCCAAGCTCTTGACACGAATGGTTTTCTCATGATCATGCGTCTGTTCCGTCATGTCAATAAAAGGGATTGTTTCATCGTCACAAATCTCAAATGCTTGAATTGAGATTGAAGATGAAACAGAATTGCTGCTATCTGTTTGTACCCTCTTGTTAGTTCCAGTTAGAGCTATATCAACCTCTTGCGTAGCGTCCATGGAAACATTTGTATGGAAGGGCAGTTGAGAGGGAATAACTTTACGGATCTGGTTTATCTCAGTAGAACTTAAATTTGGTATGTGAAGTGCTCCATCTGAAGCATCAGTTCCTGCAGGCTTCATTCTTCCCATAACTGATGATATTCTTGCAACATTGGAAGGAGTTCTTTGCCTTGTATTAGATGATTGTCCATCTTCAGCCACATGCTTCCCAGGCACAGGGGGAGGAATCCCTCCATGTCTAGGATTAGTCTTTGGGGAGGATTCAATTAAATGTAACTGGAGAGGAAAAAAAAAACTTGCAAAATAAGTGAATATACCAATAATGAATTAATAGAACTGCCAAGCCTAAGTTATACCTGGTGCTTCAAATGAAGGGATCCTTGTATCCTTCTTGAAGAATCTAACGGTAATTTTGCTGAAGCGGAAGTAATGGTATCTGCAATAGACTTTGGAACTGGAGTGGATGTCGCTGATTTGAGAACTCT